GCGCCGCCCGCCGCGCGGCCTCTCGGGAGTTGTAGTCCCCGGCGCCGCGCGGCATGTGGCGGGCAAGGCCGGGCCCGGGGACAGGCGTTTTCTGCTCCCGTTTCACTTGAACTCCTGTTGTCTGCACCTCACTTACGTATACATCCTTATATATCCATGTATTTTAAATGCAGCATCCGCACTTGGAGATGGCACCTCTTCGGATAATGTAGAAATGCTCAGTAAAGCCGTATAATTACCTCGATATCTCATATGTGGCATTTCTGTTAATATCTTAGAGTAAGGTTCACCACGTGCTGCAGCAGCTTTGCTTTGGTGGTAACACCTGGGGGTTAATTAAAACTCTGAAATTCCCTCCACTCAGGCAGCCTCGTGAGTAATACATAAAATAAAGCTATGTGCATACATAACCCTTGGAAAATGTCAGAAGAAAAGCTAGTGAGAACCGCTAAAACTGCTATGCCAGAATTACAACCTGACCTAAAAGTGAAAAACAGTGCTCAGTAACATGGCTCCAAAAGAAAGGTGGAGATGCTGCCTTTGAAGCTCTGCTGCAGACACTGAAACATCAAAGGGACATGTGCGAGATCCAATTATATTGATTTTTTCCCCTTTCTCTACTGAAAGACTATCCAAGCTGCAGCATTTTCCAGGACTATTCTTGCTTTTACTTTTCTTGTGAAATAAATAGGTTTCAGAAACTTAGAGTACTGGCTGGTACATTGTAATTAGCTGTTGCCAATGACAACAGTTGTCCAAGAATAGCTGGAACTTGTATCTTTGATCCGATACGGAGAGGAAAAAGTCCTACACAATTTTTGGTACGGAAAGCACAATCTGAGTTAAGGAGGTTACACATACACAGATTAAAATAAAGAGATTTCTTTTTCTTTTTACCGTATGTTTGTTGGTGAGTAACAATCCTGAAAGATTAAAACCATGGCATGTGATGCGGCATGTCAAGTAGAATTGTTCCCAGGATGTGCTATGCAGTTGCAGAAAATGCGAGGCAAAGGCGAGAATTTCACTCTGGGTACCATTAGGTGATGGGCAGTGTAATTATCCATTCACCTTCAGTACTAGATGAAGTCTATTCCTACACAATAAAGGAGTAATTCTAAGCGAAATTGGAGACTTACAGGAGCATTGAGTTTTGAAGTAGATTTTAAGATTTGCTTTTTTTGTACTGACTCTTTACATAGCATGAAATTCTGCTCTCAACTTCATTTTAAAATTTGCAGTCTAGAGATTGCAATGGATTACACCTTGTTAACAGCTGGGCTTAAACTCACTAACACAGGCAGGCTTAACCACTGCCTTTCACTGAATTGTAATAGCATATTGCATTATTGTAATAACATTAAAATTATATATTGTAATAATTGTAAAAGATAATTGTACCCCTAATTCCACCCAAAAAAAGAGAAAAGTGCAAAGAGATTCTTAGGACTTCATATTCTGATGCCTAAGAGCACAATGAAACAGGGAGAGGAAGGCTCCTTGGGGGAAATGTGGACAAAACAGGTCTGTGACCTTAGGATAATGGCCACCCATTAGGTTGGAGAAGAAAATAGCCATATAGAAAAAGAAGATTTTCTAAGGAGGCATCAGAGACAAACAGGACCCGCCTGAGGAGCCATCAGACAGAGGAAGCCTGCAAGACTTAATGAAAGATCTCCTGATGGCGAGGACACAGGGAGAGGTCTGAGTCACTGCTGAAGCCCTGGTTGATAGGTCTGATGGTGAAATTGTCCTGGTGGTAGAGAAAGGGAACAGCCGAAAAGTCTTGAGAAGAGGTTTCCAGTTCCTTCTTGTGGGTTTGATGTTAAAACAGATGTTTTTTAAAAAGCTAAATTTGCATTTCAATAAGTATGTTTATACAGTGAGGAAAGTTCTTCCCAAAATGATCCAGCATTTGGTCAAAATGCCTATTGTGAGGGTTTCTCTCAGCCCACAGTCTAGCACATTCAGACTGGGTATAGTTTTTTCTGTCTTTCACCATGCTTTTATCCACCCAGTATCTGAAATCCTCAGTAACTTCATAACCAACGTTCAAAACCAAATTACTCCTCTTTGTTGTTATGGTACTTAAAGAAGCATGGCAGCAAGGCTGCTAGCCTGCTAGATTCACTGGCAATTTTATCTTCCCCATCCCTCTGCTGTTTCTTGTCTTCTTATAATAATAATAATATATAATATCTTATAAAATAAAATTGATTCTATACTTGCTGTCTTTTGAGGCAAACTGTCTAACAGTGCTCTGGAAATCTTGGAACTGGTACTGGAAAATAATTTCCAGAGCCTGATTGAATTGTTTATGAGACCATGGAATGTGCCATAATTAGCACTAATAAAATCCATCTTCTGCTCCAAAAATGACTTGCATTGTTGCCAAATGGATTACAGAGGAGATCATTCTCAAGTGACCTAAAAAAAAAAAAAAAAATTAAGAGAGTATTGCATTGAACTACAGTTGCATGAGAATGCAAACAAAGTTAGGCATTGCAATCTCTGGGTGACATTTTAAGCAATAGATTTGGATTAGGTAGTCACTTCTGGACTATTTCAGACAGAGACACAGACAGCAGACAAGGCTGAACTCCACAAAAACTAACAGACTCAGCAAAACCAAAGTCAAAGCCTGCAATTCTAAAGGGGAAACACATTGGTTACAGTGTCAGCTATCTTTAATGCAAGTCCATTTACAAGAATGTACGTCTACTTTCTTGAACTCAACAGACAGTCAAGCCACAAGGCCAGTGTGCTCTTGCCAGTCCATCTTTGACTTGTTCTACCCCTCACAACCTTTCAATCTCCATCTTCTTTGGTTTTCTGCACACAGAACATTTCTCTTCAAACGCTTTCTCATGTGAGGGCAGGAACTATGTGTCTTTCACTATCAAGTATCAGTTTCCAAAACCTTCCACTATGAAGGCATGGCCTCTTCCTGAGGGGCATACTCCTCTGACCAGTGGATATATTTACTTTCTCTTCCATCTGCAGCAATCTCAAGTTAAGATACACTTAGTGGCTATTTCTGGCCATCATCCTCTAGAAGGTGCCCTCCCAGTTTTCTCCTACACCATAGTCCTGAAGATCTTTAAGAGCTTGGTGAAAGTGTTTCCCCTGGGAAAGGTATTGTTCCTAAAGCACTCATGATCTCAGGGACATGACTCTGTAAGTTCCTGACAGATTGTTTGATGCTTCTCCCTAGTGGTATTCCTGAGGGTGATGGCTGTCTCCTCCAAGCAGAGTGATGGAGATGATGGTAATCATCACTTCCACTGATCCCATTTTCTTCCTGAATGGGGTTATCCTCTGAACCTTTTCCAAAACCCAGCACTAACTCAGGAAGAGATGCAGATGAAGCACTTAGGGACATGGTTTAGCATGCATGGTGTTGAAAGGATTGACTTGATGATGTTGAAGCTCTTTTCCAACCATAATGATTCTATGATTTTATGAGTCAGGAAACAGATTATTTTCTTCTCTAGACCCCCTTAGTTGAAGGGCTGGGAAATCCCATCACGCCTTGAGCGCCAAAGTGGGCGTCATCCTAACTGCAGAGGATGATGCTTCTCAAACAGTCTTCCTCTTTGGTCCTTGCACACCGCATCCCTCGGGGTTCTGCAGCTGCAAGGAGCTGCTTTTCATACGGAGCACACAGAAGAGAGAAGCACGAGTGAAACCACTGGACACCAGTTCAGTCTGTGGCCCTGTCGGCTGGAGACACATGCTGACCTCAGCTTGTCACAGAGCTACACACGCACGGGCTTTCAGCTTGTTTTGAAGGAACCCAAAATCTCAGCTATATCTATTAAAACCTGGAGCTGTTCCGTGGCATGAAGCCAGAGAAACGCAGCTTTTCACAGGTGCAGAGGAGGCACAGCCCCGTTCCCGGTGTCCTGCCAACACCCCGAGAGCAGCTCGGCCGCTGAGATCAGCCCTTCCTACGCTTATCGAGAGCCACTTTCTCCCTATCCCCGTCCCGTGGTGACAGTTAGTGACAGGAGGCGCATAAAACGTGACGCCGGGTGCTTTGGGCAGGCCGCAGCCGCAGGCCGCCCCGTCGCCACAGCCGCCTGGGTGTGGCGCCCGCGCCGCCCGCCAGAGGCCGCTCGCGCAACGGCCAACGGCGCCGCAACGGCCGCGGGACGCGTCACCAACGGCCGCCCCCGCCGCCCCAACGGCCGCTATCACTTTTTTATTTTTATTTATTTTTATTTTTATTTTTATTTTTATTTTTATTTTTATTTTTATTTTTATTTTTATTTTTATTTTTATTTTTTTCCTTAAAGACTCTCCTGCCCTCCAGGTTTAATTTGGAGCAGGCGTTGGTAAAGCACTGATCTCTGGTAGCCCTCTGCTCAGGCAAGACAGCCTGCGCTAGAATGTTAATAAAATCACCACATGCAGGCAAGTTTTTACTTGCGTTCATGCATGCAAGGAATAAATCTGAACTGTCTTAATTAATCTGAACTCTCTTAATTACCAGAAAACATTCTGTTATATATCTAGATCCTCAAAAAGTTGCATGTGGATAAAAATTTCGAGGATATCTCTTGGAAAGGTACTGGACCATGAATGAGGCTTTCCAAATCTGATGGAAATGCCATCTTCTGCCACGTATTCATCAGGTGACTACAGGAAGAAAATTCATATACCCAAATACATGGTTTAGATGATGATTATTCAGACATATACCAATTGGTGATAACTGACCATTTGAAACAACAGATATTTTTAAGAACTCGCAGAAACAAATTGCATGCCAGTTCTGGCATTCAAAGGCCTGGAACACAGAAGAAAGCAAGGTCCAAGGTCCAAGTCTGGTTAGATCCATTGCAAAACTTTATTCCATATGTAAATTTATCAGTCATTGATTCAAGCCCAAT